CCTGTGGAGCTCACAGTCTCAGGTAGGGTGATCCTGACATCTCAGGGAGAGTCACAAGCCACACTCTATGGGGGCTCTTGACTCGGGTGAGATAGGAGTCAATAGGAAGGGTTAGTCAGAAGACACTTCCCCTAGCAGAGAAGCAGATGGCAGCAATGGTCCCGCAAGTAATGTCTACTCCACCCTCTATTTCAATCTAGGCAATAGGAGGATCTTTAGGAGGTGGCAGGGTAGATGGAGTGAGAAGAGTGAGGATCCCTGGCTTTACATCTGTCATCCTCTCCTTGTTCTGTTCCCTAGGACCCATTGGAGCCTCTAAGCCACCACCTTCAAGGCCCATGCCAGGAGGTAGTAAGTATCAGGCACCTCTGTGCAGAGAGTATGCTTCATCCCAAGGCTGCCTGGCAGGTGTTAGCCTGCCAAAGTCTTCATTTGTCTGTCACTTCAGATTGTGAGTGTGGGCGGCATTCAGAGATCCCAAGAGAGACCCAAGAAGCTGGTGCTTAGAGGTTGGGCTAGAGAAGGTTGCATCCACAGCGAGATATTTAGGCTCCTCATGGACAGTGCGGCAGGTGGCTAAGGTTGAGAGCAAAGAACCCAACAGTCACATCCCCACTTTGACCCTAAGGCCCTGAGAATAAACCTTCCATCTTTGTGGAGTCGGGACCCAGAGGGCTAAATCAATATACTCTGTTGAATCATGGGGCCCAGACGGGCAATATCTTGTCATAGGATTGATACAGCTGCTTCTGCAGATCTGACCTGGACAAGCCCTTCCCTTTCTGGGCTGCTGCTTCTCTGAGTATAAAGGGGGAACACATGCCTAAGGTTTTTCTGCTTTATTTTTTTTTTCTATGATGGCCTTGGCTGTGACCTCTCCTGACAGAAGAGGCCTCCATAACCTGATTCCCCAGTGGGTCTATTCCACAATGTGGTGACATGTACAAGGGTGGGGCACAGGGCCATGGCTGAACTCTCAGGCTCCTTCCCTCTAGCTTAAGGAGCTCAGCTCTGGTGGAGGGAACTGGGCTGGAGTCAGAGTCCTTCCATTCAGCTGCCAGCTCTGCCACTTCCAGTCAGGTATCTGAGGCAGGTGAACTGCCTGGATAGGAAAAAAAGACAGTTTCACATAACAAGATTGTGAGGATGGGAAATGGAGTGGGCAAAGACCCAGCATGAGCCTGCCACACAGTAGGTGCTCAGGTAAGCAGCAATGGTCCCCACTCATGATATCACTTGTGCCTCAGGATTTAGCAGTTACCTGAACATTCTGATCGGAGTCTCTGTGGCCTTTCTCCTGCTCCTCGTCATCTTCATCTTCGTCCTTCTCCGACGAAGGCATCAGGGAAAATTCAGAAAGGATGGTGAGGAGGCCGTGGGTGACTGGGTCTCAGAACGTGTTGGGTTCCCCTGTGAACATCCAAACAGAATCTCAGGACACTGGCCTCAGGAAAACCTCGAACTGGGGCAAGGTAGCTTAGAAAGACTTGCAGATCTCAAATGAGAAGACACTTGATCTCAGAATCTGTGCAGTGCCCAGCATTCTGTTAACCTCACCACGTTCCGGGACATTTGCTCACTCACCCTTGTGTTGTAAAGCTCCCTCCCTTCCTTCCTTCCTTTCTTCCTTCCTTCCCTGCACAGGCCTGGGGGGAGGGGCATCCACTCTCCCAGCTGAGACTCCTCTCCCTTGCAGCCCAGAAAGAGACAGAATTGCAACTTCCTGCAGGAGCTGCAGAGCCAGTAACTAGGGACAGAGGCCCCCAGAATAGGTAAGGCACAGCCAGATACCTAGACCCCTGCCTGCCTGACAACAACAAACTGACAACTGACATCTTGTCTCTCCAGGGCCAACCCAGCGGCTGCCACCCAGGAAGAAAGTCTTTGTGAGAGAAAGAGGGTTGTGGGAGGGGGATGTATGAGGTCTCAGAATTGCAGGGGTGGAGGAGGGGAGCTGATGTCTTTGCTGCATGAATTTCACACTTGGGATAGCACAGCACTCCCTGGTTCTCTGTCCCCACCTTGGACAAGGCAGGAAACTAGGGGGCTGAGGCACCCTAGACTCTGGTCAGGAGACATTCTGCTTGTTCTGCTCTGACAGATGCTTCAGTGGAGGACATGCGAGCTGAGGATGGTGTGGAGCTGGACAGCTGGGTGAGGTCCATGTCTCTATCTGCTAAAACTTAGGGCCCAGTACAGTCTGTGGGGAGGGGAGTTCCCTGTTCTCCCTCCCTCAGGCCCTGCAATATCCACAGCTGACCTCTCCCTCCTCCTGTGCGCTATGGCCTCACTCTCTCCTGCTTTTCCTGGGACCACGTGTCTCCTCACTTCTGTCTCCTGTGTGACTCCTTTATATCTGTCTCGTTATCTTTTGAGGGGGAAGCCTGAGTGGAGAGGCCCATAGAGACATCTAAGGGACCAGCAACTGCAGTAGGGGACACAGCAGAACCCCAGGAATTTGGGCAGAAATTGGGGTTTTGTTTTATGGTTTATGTGTATGGATGTTTTGCCTGCATGTATGTCCATGCATCCCACACCCACACGGTGCTCCCAGAGGCCAGAAAAGCATGTCAGATACCCTGACCTAGTGTTACAGATGAGTATAGGCTGCCATGTGGGTTCTGGAAACCAAACCCACGTCCTCTGCAAGAGCAGCCAGTGCTCTTAACCACAGAGCCATCTCTCCAACCCCCAGAAACTTGTTTTCAGGCAGATAGACTGCAACTGAATCCAAGACAGCAAGGGTTAGAGAGTAAGGTTAATCCAGAACTGCAGGAAGGAAGCACAGGAAGATCCCATCAGTGAGGCTGTAATTTAAACATGTCACTCTGGCCATTCTGTGGAAAACTGGCCAGAGGGAATTCCCAAGGGAACAGGGAGACACTATCTGTACCTCATGACTTCCCTGCTACAGAGACCACCTGAGGAAGATCCCCAGGGAGATACGTATGCCCAGGTGAAACCCTCTAGGCTCAGGAGGGCAGGATCTCTCTTACCTTCTGTCATGTCAAGTGAATGCCTGAATACAAAAGGACAAGCAAAAGAGGACAGAGAAGTGGACAGTCAGGTGGGTCCTGTCTTCCACAGACCTGCAGGTTTCCCCAAGCCAAGCATATACCTTCCTCTCAATCTCTTCCAATGCAGCCTGCTGAATCTAAGGAGCCCCAGGATGTGACCTATGCCCAACTGTGCATCAGGACACTCAGCGGAAGGACAGCTACACCTCCTTCCTCCCAGGCAGGGGAAGCCCCAGAGGAGCCCAGTCTGTATGCTGCTCTGGCAGTCGCTCATCCCAAGAACAAGGAGCAATGACCCTCTGCCTGCAAATATGCCTAACAGAGACCTCCAAGGAATTCTGGGAACTGTTGGCAACTTAACTACACTTTAACATCATACAGTTTGGAAATAAAACAGAAGAGTTCTCAATAATCAAATGAAATGAGAAATGAAATAGAAAGGAGGGGTTTTACATGGAGTGCTAATTTTAATGATATTTCTCATCAAAGCCATGAAATGAGAAAATATGCAATCATGGTTGTACAGCCTCATAATTCCAACTCATAGGAGGCTGAGGCAGGAAAACTGCTATTGCTTGTGGCCATCTTGGCATACTTAGTGAACTTCATGCCAGCCTGGGTTACAGAATGAGACATGTTTCAAATAACATTAGCCACCAGAGGCCAGGGGGAGGAACATACCCAAAATCCTAGCCCTTGAGAGGGCTGGACATGAGGATCAAGAAGTCAAGGTCATAGCCTACAAGTAAGAAGCCAGCCTAGAACACACCAGACCCTGTTAAAAAATAAATAAATAGGCCAGGCTTGGTGGCACATGCCTTCAATCTCAGCACTAAATAAGTAGAGACAGATCTCTGAGTCCAGGGCCAGCTGGTCTACCGAATGAGTTCCAGGACAGGCAAGGATGCAGAGAAACCTTGTCTTGAAAGTAATAAATAAAATAAGGCCAGTGATAGTGCCTTTAACTGCTGATATCCTAAGTTCAATCATCAGGAATAGAGGAAGAAGAAAACTGACCCCCAGAAATTGTCCTCTGACCTCCAAAGTCCTCGGTGTCCTCCCCACACCCAAAAAGTAAATAAAATGATTTTTAAAATAAACAAACTTGATGTGGTGATGTAAGTGTCTGATCACAACAATAAGTTATTGACATCAATAAGTTTTTTTTTCTTTTTTTTTTTGTTTTTTAATTTTTTTTAAATCTTTTATTTTTTTTTATTAATTACACTTTATTCATTTTGTATCCCCCCATGAGCCCCTCCCTCCTCCCCTGCCGATCCCACCCTCCCTCCCCTTTCTGCATGCATGCCACTCCCCAAGTCCACTGATAGGGGAGGTCCTCCTCTTCTTTCTGATCTTAGTCTATCAGTTCTCATCAAAAGTGGCTGCATTGTCCTCTACTGTGGCCTGGTAAGGCTGCTCCCCCT